CAGTGACTGTGTAGTCATTTAATGTAAACTCAAAGATTATTAAAAATTGTCAAAAATTTAAAAATGGTCAAAAAATGTGTCGACAGCTCTTCGCTCGTCTCGAGGCTCGGCGCTGTCTGAAGGACATTGAACCTCGTCTGTTTCCTGATGATGGAGGGCCTGAGCAAGGTGATGATTAGCCACGCCCACTTCCTGTCAGCAGATGGGTGCTGTCTTGTTGCGTCTGACTGTTTGTTTGACTCCGTCAGGTGAGGTGGTGGAGGTATACGGACCGGAGGGGACAGGTGAGTCCAGTCCAGACCTCTGCAGGTCCTGCTCAGACCGGTCTGTGAACTCTGAGTGTTTCAGGTAAGACGGAGCTGCTGTACCACCTGCTGAGCCGCTGTGTGCTGCCGGAGGTGGCTGGTGGTCTGGAGGTGGACGTGGTCTTTGTGGACACAGACCACAGTCTGGACATGTTCCGGCTGGCCAGCGTCCTGGACTCCAGACTCACCGCAGGTAGAACCACACAGAAGGCCGGGGCCAGGAAGATCTGGTTTCAACGTTCTCGCAGAACTGAACTGGGTATGTTGTGTTCTGGGTCCAGGTCTTTCCACCAGCTCGTCCTCGGCCGGGTCCAACGAGGCGGCGCTGCGTTTGTGTCTCTCTCGCCTCCTGGTGGTCCACTGCTCCTCCTCCTCCCAGCTCCTCCTCACCCTGCACTTCCTGGAGACCACCCTGTGTTCGCGGCCGAGCCTGGCGCTCCTCCTCATCGACAGCATCTCAACGTTCTATTGGTCGGACCGCAGCGAGGGCGGGGCCAACGTCTCCACGCACGAGGAGAAGCTGAGCAAGAGCTCGGAGCTGCTGGGACGGCTGCTCAGGTGGGTCACCTGGAACGGATCCAGAGATCCTTTAGGAGGTTCTAATAGTAGATTCAGCAGATGTTATTGGTTCTCCAGGTTCTTGCTAAGGAGATGTTCTGTGGTCATTATATTTTAGTCGGTCCAGTTTGGTTCTGGTCAATTCTTAGAACGTAGAACCCGTTTTAAGAGGTTGTAGGAAGAGGAAGGTTCTGATCATTTATCTAGAGGTTCGGATGGTCAAATAGAAAGTTCTAACTCTGTAGTTGAAGGTCCAGGGTTACTTTTAGGAGGTTCTACTGAATGAGGGGGGCTGGTTGAGGTTCTGTTGGTCCAGTCTCATGACCCTTTACGGTCCGTTACTTTGTAGGAAGTTCTGTCAGCGGTGCAGCGGGAGGTCCAGTTTGGGGTTCTTGTTGTCCTTTGAAATGGGAATAGACCTTATCTGGAGTTGGAACCAGGCCTTGAGGTGGTTCTGTTAGTTTGTCGTTGTGGATTATTGTTGGGTTGTTGAAGAACCTCCAGAGTGGACCAGTCCATCTGATGTTCTGGTTGGTGGTTCCTCCTCAGGGACTACAGAATCACCATCTTTGCTGCCTGCCACGCCATCAGGAGGAGTACCAGCGGGCCACCGTCCTCCTCAGAGACGGACCGCCCATATCTCTGTCGCCCCTGGCAACGCCTGGTCACCCATCGGCTGCTGTGCTCCAGACAGGAAGCTGAACCCGACCGGACCGCCTCAGACCGAGGAGCAGAGGAGCAGAGAAGGCGCCAAGTCTTCAGGGTCCACTGTACCTCCTCCTCCTCAGGGGCGAAGGGGTCCAGGACCAGCTATTTCAGAGTGACAGATGGAGGGGTGGAGTTTATCTGAGCTACTTCCTGTTTATCTGAGCTACTTCCTGTTGACTGTAAATTCAAAATGTTTAATTTTATCAAGGTACTTCCTGTTTATCCAAACTACTTCCTGTTTATCCAAACTACTTCCTGTTTGTTGTTAATACAATTATGCAATATACATTGTAAAAGCATTAAAAAATGAAGTTGATTATTTTGTTAATCTTTAAAAAATAATACAGCCACTTCAGTCAAATTTTTCTCAATTGCATCAGAATTTAATTTGCTATGAACCCCAGGTTTTATTTTTATTTCTTTTCCTGTGGTTGTGTTGGTCTTGTTGGTTTGTTTTTCCTGTTCAACTGTCGATGGATTCTGCTGCCAGTAGTTGTTGTACCAACACACTCACCCAGCACACACACTTTTTGCCCCGCTCCCCTCAGGTAGGAGGTTGAGGAGCATTAAGTGTAGAACCACTAGACTGAGGAACAGCTTCTACCCTGAGGCTGTTAGACTCATGAATCTCTAACCAGAATAATCACTGTGAAAATCACATAATGTTGCTGCTGATCTGAGACATGTAGGAGGAGATGTATGAAGGCAGCAGACCAGGAAGTGATTTAAAGATGAAAATGTACCAGTGAGAGAGTCTGTGTGAAGTTAATGGTGACCAGTTAACCAGTGAATACTGGGTGCAGTGGTGGGTACGATAATCACAGCCAGTTATGAATCTTAGTGCACCGTGATAGACAGCATCCAACACCTGCAGCATCCAACATCTGCAGCATCCAACATCTGCAGGTTCTTGTAGGAGCGTTCATGTAAATAATGTCACCATAATCAATGGAGGGAAGGAAAGTCACAGATACAAGGTGTTTCCTAACATTCAGGGTTAGACAGGATCTGTTTCTGGAAAAGAAACCCAGTTTAACTTTCAGTTTCTTTACCAAGTTTTCCACATGGAGCTTAAAAGAGAGATGTGAGTCGACCAAGATAAATATTTATAGGAATCAATAAACTCAATGGGGACACCATTTGAGGATAAAATCGGAGGAAGAACTGCTGGGACCAACTTCCTGTTTGAAAAAAGTATCCCTTTGATTTTGTAGGACAAGTTGTTTTAGCTCAACAATAAACAACTGTGTCATCAGCATAGAAATGTATGGATGCATCAGGGATGCTCTGACCTACATCACCTATGTAGATTGTAAAGAGGGTGGGTCCTAAGACTGACCCTTGAGATACACCATTGTTGACTGTTAAATAACTGGAGGAAGTACCATTATGTTGCATGTATATTTAGTTTATGTTTTTCTTAGATCTTATTACTGTTTTTCTTTTCCATTTTTATTGTTGGATGTAACTGTGACCCTGTGTACATAATTTCATTCCACCACATGTAACAACAATAAAGAAACTGTATCTGTATTTGTTTCAGTCCGGATCCTGTCGGTTCTTGTCGGCACAGTTTGTGAGACTGAAGGGTTGTGTGTCTGACCAGGTGGTCAGTAGCTCAGGAGCACCACAGGGGACTGTACTCGTACCATTCCTTTTCACTCTGTACACCTCAGATTTCCAGTACAAAACAGACTCCTGTCATCTGCAGAAATATTCTGATGACTCTGCAGTGGTCGGGTGCATCAGAGATGGACAAGAAGCTGAGTACAGGGAACTGGCGGACCACTTTGTGGCCTGGTGTGGAAACAATCATCTCATCTTGAACGTGAACAAAACAAAGGAGATGATTGTAGATTTCAGGAGAATCAGGAGCAGGTCCAACCCTATTTCCACCATGGGAGAAGAAGTGGAGGTGGTGGAGAAGTATAAATACCTTGGGGTTCACCTGGACAATAGACTGGACTGGAGCTGCAACAGTGAAGCGTCTACAAGAAGGAACAGAGCAGACTGTACTTCTTGAGGAAGCTGAAGTCCTTCAACGTTTGCAGCAAGATGCTGCATATCTTCTACAAGTCTGTTGTAGAGAGCGCTGTCTCTTCTGCCATCATCTGCTGGGGGAGCAGCACCAGAGCAAGAGACTTAAAAAAGATCAAGAAGCTCATTAAGAAGGCTGGCTCAGTTCTGGGGACTCCTCTAGAACCTTTGGAGATGATTGTACAAAGAAGGATTCTTCATCAAATGAAGAACATTATAGACAACCCTGAGCATCCTCTTCATCAGACTGTCATACAACAACAGACTGTCATACAACAACAGACTGGCATACAACATCAGACTGTCATACAACAACAGACTGTCATACAACATCAGACTGTCATACAACATCAGACTGTCATACAACAACAGTGTCATACAACAACACAGTGTCATACAACAACAGAGTGTCATACAACAACAGAGTGTCATACAACATCAGACTGTCATACAACAACAGACTGTCATACAACATCAGACTGTCATACAACAACAGTGTCATACAACAACACAGTGTCATACAAAAACAGACTGTCATACAACAACAAGAGTGTCATACAACAACAGAGTGTCATACAACATCAGACTGTCATACAACAACACAGTGTCATACAACAACAGACTGTCATACAACAACAGACTGTCATACAACATCAGACTGTCATACAACAACAGACTGTCATACAACATCAGACTGTCATACAACAACAGTGTCATACAACAACAGATTGTCATACAACAACAGAGTGTCATACAACAACAGACTGTCATACAACATCAGACTGTCATACAACATCAGACTGTCATACAACAACAGACTGTCATACATCAACAGACTGTCATACAACAACAGAGTGTCATACAACAACAGACTGTCATACATCAACAGACTGTAATACAACAAAAGAGTGTCATACAACATCAGACTGTCATACAACAACAGAGTGTCATACAACAACAGACTGTCATACAACATCGGACTGTCATACAACATCAGACTGTCATACAACATCAGACTGTCATACAACAACAGACTGTCATACATCAACAGACTGTCATACAACAACAGACTGTCATACAACATCAGACTGTCATACAACATCAGACTGTCATACAACAACAGAGTGTCTTCAGTCAGAGGATTCTTCAGATCTGCTGTAGGGCAGATGCTACAAGAGATCCTTCCTGCCACAGCATCAGCATCTAGAACAACTCTTTAATGAAACCAGGATGAAGAGTTACAACAACATTTAATTTACCTCTGGATTAATAAAGTAGTTTTGAATGGAATTGAATTTAATTCTGATCCGGTTTGGGTTTATCTGGTTTGTTTCAGTCTGAGGGCAGCACGGTGGCACAACTGGTAGAGCTGCTGCCTCTCAGCGAGCAGGTCCCTGGTTCAAATCCCGGTCCAGGGGCCTTTCTGGGTGGAGTTTGCATGTTCTCTCCGTGCATGCGTGGGTTTTCTCCGGGTACTCCAGTTTCCTCCCACAGACCAAAAACATGCATGTTAGGCTGATTGGTAACTCTAAATTGTCCCTAGATGTGAGTGAGAGAGTGAATGGTTGTTTGTCTCGTTTGTCTCTATGTGTCCCTGTGATGGACTGGAGACCCGTCCAGGGTGTCCCCCGCCCCTAGCACAGTGATTGCTGGACATGGGCACCAGCGACCCCCGTGACCCAAAATGGAATAAACGGGTAAAGAAAATGGATGGATGGGTTTCAGTCCGGATCCTGTCGGTTTTGATCCGGTTCGGGTTTATCTGGTTTGTTTCAGTCCGGATCCTGTCGGTGGTGATCCGGTCCGGGTTTATCTGGTCGGATGACAGACCGCTTCACAGGAGCAGCCCTCTTGTTTATCCCTCCGCGGGGTCATACACTTTTTTTTTGTACAGAGCCAAACGAACCGATACTGAACAGAACCTCACTGACACCGAGCCGGGACACGCTTGAATCGAATGTCGCCTTTAACCTGGTGTTAAGAGACCAACTTGTTGTGGTTCCGTTTGGACCTGCGGTTCGGTAGTAAGTGTTTTCTGGGATCTACTTCTCCTGCTGGTGCTGACAGGCGGTACTTCGGTCGCTCCCAAACATGGCCTCCATGACAGAGCGACCGCTTCAACTTTAAATTTTCACCGATTTTCTGCGCGCGGACTGCGTTCTTCAGTTTCTACGGCCCACGGGGATGTTTCCACGAAGAACCGGGTCAGACCAGACCGGGGAAACGGATGTTATCCGTGGGAGAAGTTCGCTGTTAAACACGTCGCTCTAAGTTCGGCTGAAAGCTGGAGAGGAAAAAGAGAACCGCATCAAATCAGTAAGAACCTTCTGACTTCTCTCCAAACCTGAACACTTCTGAGCTGCAGGTTCCGGTTCTGTCCGGCCGTGTGTCCCCGCTCACTGCCCGCCTGTCAGCAGTGTTTACTTCGGGGCGGTGGGGAACCCCGAGCTAATGCTAACGCTAACGTTCCGAGGCTAACAGCTAGCTGCTAACTCCCGTGTTTTTACACGGACTGATGCTAACAGCTAGCTGCTCGCTGCTATGTTTTACATGGAC